TCTGTCAATTCTCGCATCTACTTACATAGCACATCATCTTTTTGCAGGAGAATCGACATCAATATTCTTTCTATCGACTAATCTTTCATGCATCGTAGAAACAGTCGTTCCCCTCGTATTCTGGACCCTTTCAAAGTTTTTTGATTTTTTGCTGAAATGTAAGTATTTCACACGATTATGCTTTCATTTCGCTTACAAAATGTGCATTGAAACATCACCTTTCGATTGCCACAAGCAGTATATCCCTCTTCTTCTTAACAGAAGATATCAACAATTGGAAAAAAAAATATTTTTAGGGAAATTGATCGTAACTTTTTTATTAAAGGATTTGGTACTTTGTTCAGCAAACATGTGCTACTAAATAAGAATTCAAAAGTTATAAACTTTCATTTATAATTTGAAATAAAACAGTTATGCTATAGAAACTAATTACGCCATAACAACTGCTACGTGAGAATTACCATAAGTTTTACCAGTAATGATTTTTCTGCAAAGTTTCTTTAAATTACGTTATATACAACAAGGTTCATCATAATATAATCAGATATAAAGAAGATAATTTATTATATTTGATGAAAGCTGCAAATAGGATGGGGCAAAAATCATCCTATTTGCAACTTTCATCAAAATAAGGGCATCATAAACAACACAGAAGGCACTATGCTGATGGAAATGGCTCTAATGTTGGCCTATGGATCTAAGATTGGGCCGATCGCCAAATATCTGTTATTTATTAATTGTATCTAGATGAGCGCGTCATTGGGGCGGTACTAATGGATATTTTTGGTCACTATTGAAAATTTAGTCGATTGCTGAATTAATGTATGGGCCCAAATTAGGGACATTTAGGCCGACATTACATCCATTTCCCCTAGTTGCAATTTGTGGGACACCCCTCACCATCCCTCTCCAAAGGGGGAGTTTGGTAAAGAGAGATGTAGAAACCGATTTGTACCTTCATTAAAAGTTGTCCTAGCTCGCTATCTACTATCTATATGCAATTTTCACACTGCCGTACTCTAACGGAACTATCAACCTCTTTAGTCTGTTATTTGAAATTAGCATCTTCAACTATGTAAATCGTTGACTTCACGCAGAAGTAATACTAAACATATAGTCAAAGAATATTTAATGTTAAATACCATTAGACAGATTATGGTTTTAATTAGTATTAGAAAGTTTGGTCAATTTGATTTTGGGTCATGGACAACTAGAAATTTAAGCTGTTAAACTAGCAGAAAACCCAACAGCTAAAATGAAGCTCAATTTTGATTATGTCCATCCAAATTTAAAACTCAAATAAATTTTACATACATTTTCAAAGCGTACGATCAAGTTATCTCAATTGAGTAATGGTTTCCACCATCAAATCTTACAGATGTCGCCCCGCCAGTGGTAGTTTTTCGGTATTAATATTTTCGAAAAATCGTTGATTTCTCTTCATACCTTGCTTCTAGCGGTGATTTTTTTTAACAGGATGTTCATTTTAGTAAAAGTGACATTATGTAGAAATAATACATCGGACAAATTGCACCATTATTGATATTTTACATCTTCTTCTTCTTCTTCTTCTTCTTCTTCTTCTTCTTCTTCTTCTTCTTCTTCTTATTATTATTATTCTTCTTCTCATTTCAAGCTTATTGCGTGCTCTCAACTTAGTGTTTTAGGATCACTTCCACAGTTATTAATTTTAATAATCTCAACTATATGTGATTTGATTGCACCATTTCTGATATCATCAATGTTTAGTGATCGTTTATTACGGATACTCAATTTGAATACTATTTCATCAATCGTGACATGTTTTCAGAAAATGTTTTTTTTTTAAACCACTGATCCATGCGGTATATATTATAATGATCACTGATTTGATTCCGTTCACGATTCAAGAATGATTGAATGGTGAACTAATGACTGTTGTTTTGAAAACGATGTTTTGATTAATGCCAAGGAATTCTAGATTCATGCCCATAGTGCTTGTGCCAGAACCGACATTGTACATTGAGGTGGGTCAAGTTTGTATGGTGGATCACAACCCCCTGCTCCCCACTGCTCTTTCGATCTGTATTGAGCTCCACATCAACTGTGCCAAACATTGAACGAATTTGGGTACGCTGTTGATTTTCGGGTGAACTTTTAAGTTCATATGGGAGACGGAACGAAACAATTCATTTGCTTGTCAAATATTTAAAAAATGATCAATTACAGTACGGGTCCGATTTTGGTAACATGTTTCCAATGTCTTGAATTTGCTTGTGTTACGCAATTAAAAAAACTCCATCTCTATTTAATATTGTTCATACACTGTCCGGTTAATCATGAAGCTTTAAACGTGCTGCGATAATCAGGTTTGCAATTATTAAAGCTCAGAAACCATCATTTTTGTGTCAGTCAATTGAATCCTACTGTATTACCAAAGAGACTTAGATTGGCAAAACTATGTAACTTTTATAGAAAACCGCAAATTGATTCGATTTCTGTGGAAAAAGTTAGTAGCCTTTTACTTTAAACCTAGTGCTCCGCCATACCTGCAGGGGTATATGTGAGTTTGTAAGTATACGCGAAGCATTAGGCCTAAAGTAAAAGGATTTTAACTGTTTTCGCACATTCGCGGTCTTCTACAAATTTGATTAGTATAGTGTTCTCAATATATGTCTCATGACCAAGCGACGCCGGTGGTGTAGTGGTAAGCGTGATTACCTCTCACCCCAGCAGGCCTGGGTTCAATCCCAGTCGGCGCCACGGAGATGTTCTGAGGCATAACAAGGGAAGTAAAGCCGTTGGTCCCCCGTTCATGAGTTGATGGGTCGATAGGTAGGGTCCAGGTGTGGGAGCTGCCTCCCTGGCGTCGGTAGCACTCAGCACGGAAAACAAATCAAGGAAAAAAAATGTCTCATGATTAGTTAAAATTGAACAATTTTGGAGAAGTCATAAGCAAATTCGTTCCAATTCGACACAGTTCATGGGAACCTCAATATTGGTCGAAAAAGCAGTGGAGAGCAGAGGGTTGTAAAGTTAAGCCATCCTAATGAACATCCCTTTTAAAGAACGACGTGACTTGACAATCCCAGCTGGGGTTGTACCAACACTTCCACTTCCACTTTAGTGATTTTAGGTGAGAAAACCGCTCTTTGAAAATTTCAGATCATTAGGCTGTATCACCAGCTAGCACTATTAGCTTAAAATTTATAATGGTTTTTGGTTGAAATGTTTGGGAAAATGGACTCTTTGGATCACACATTTAGCTCACATACGAATATCTTAATAAAAATAACACGAATCAAGAAACACTTTTCAGCAAATTTGTTCCATATTCGTTAATAAGCTACAAGCTGTGCAATCCTGAGCTAATTCGGGTATAACAAAACTGTTCGATGATCTAAATAGTGTGTAATTTTCTCATACATTTCAACCGAAAACACCATATATGTGAACACTAAACAAAAGCCAGCTCGTGTTGCAACCAAATGAGCTGAAACTTTCCAAGTAACTATTTTCTCTCCTAAAGGCATAAACTTGGGGGTTGGTCCGTAGAAAGAGATCCACAAAAAAATCACCCATAGGAATATGGGCCAGCCTAAACTACACAATAATGTGGGTAGATCACCTTTTCGTGGTACGTTACGGGATGTAAGATCTACCACCGATTCCTAGTCCTGACTACTTCAAACTAGGGGAAAAGGATTTTTCAGTAATCCAAGGAACACATCTTAGTCCTTGTTACTTTTTATGCCTTGTTGATAGTGACAAGACTCGGCTTTGTCTACCGAGGATGATCTTGAAACAAGGAAAAAAAAAGAAGAGTTAGTTGTCTTCATCTATGTGATTCCTAATCTTCTATTCGTTGTTCCCTAGTTTGAAGTGGTTAAGACTAGGGTACTGATGCATGGTCATTATAGGTGTCATACCTTAATTTTGTTGCTAAGGAATCCAATTTTGACTGACAAAGGGGCTCGCCTTTGGAGGGTGTTTCAACACTCCGAAGGGTATAAATAAATAGCGGGACCTTTCAAGTAGAGTCGGATCCTTGTGATAAATGCAAGAGTGGCAATTGTAAAAAAATCGAATACTTCATCATTTCTCAATAGTGATGGAGTAATACGACATGCACTAAACTAAGGACACGGGATATACTACAATAGATCAATTTACTGGTCGAAGTAGTGTTAGGTCCCGAACAGAGGAAAAAAAAAACTACACAGTAAAATATAAATTATATAAATTACTGATGAATAAAACTGATGGAAAATAAACAAGTATAACAAAAAATAGTCTTCCGAGTTGTAGTATGTGCATATGTCGTGCCGCAATATTAAAAAAAAAAATATTTGCTGTGTCGGTACCATAACAAAACCACCACAATCACTAAAGAAATTTAAGAAAATGTTTGAAAAAACCAAGAGTTGCCTATAACTCAAATGTATCTGGATAGTAGGTTAACTACATTTCTCCAAGTTCTGCCAATTTCAGTTAAAGAAAATCGAAATTAAAACCAATCTTCTCCAGCGGTCCTACTCCATTAAACTGCTATAAAATTCAATCAAAACATACATAATTTCGGCCTAGCCCAATCAACATGTATAGCGTTGTGATCGGTTTGTCATAGATATAGGTATACTGATGAGTTCAATGTGATTTGATGTTGTTTGTCCGAACCGCTGCGCCGTGGGAAACGGGAGAAAGTGAGTATGCGTGCTGAGAAAAAAAAAATAGCTGACAGCTTTCCATCTTCGCATCACTTTGTAGACCACCAAACAGAGCAATTTCAATTAAAAAGTCGAACCGCAGTCATTAAATCAAAAGTTGTGAGCGAACAGGTGTTTCTATTATTGTTTTGACTTCGAATGCGATGGATGATTTAATTTGTGCTGAATTTCATATTTCAGATATATGTATGGGAAAATGGAAACAATAATCACAATCAAACACAAAACAACATACAGTAAACGCAAATCTAGAAAATCACGCCCGAAAGCAAAGAAAACAAATAAAAGGATTACCTTTATCGTCAGTTTTTGGATTGGCACCTGGCTGCCAGCGTTCTACAACGAATGAGATAGATGAGAAGAGACATAGTGGATGAATTGTTTTATGTGAAGAATGAATTCTGTATGATAAGTGTGATAAGTCTTTTCTGAATATGCTTGAACTATGAGTAAAACTAAACTGATGCCTTGAAAAACTCATTAACATGCAATTATAACTGAAGTCGAAATAGATCATGAACTTATAAGAAGACAGAAAGAGTAAATGATGGAATAATCCAAAATAGGTAAAATTATCTTAAATTAGACATTACAATTGGATTCTCCGAAATGAAGCTATTTGCAACTAAGAGGCAAGAATTTACTGTTCACTGTGCTAATTGATTTTTAATGGAATGAGGTTTTCTAATTGGACGCCAACGAGCAGCACGATCGCTTAGAGCGAATTCAATTTGATTTATTTCCATTAAATCGCACCATCTTGGTAAGCTGACTGCCAACAGCCAATGCTGAGATGCCTAGTGGACCTCACAGCATTTTTCTAACGCTGAACTGTTTCTGTAGTCAGCTTTTCAAGTTGAGTGAGAGGCACTTTGAAACTCGTGCTTTCCTCTTGTGTTCGTCTCTCGGGAGACGTGATAGCATCAAGCAATCATAATTTCACCACACTTACAGCAAACGCTGCACTTTTTTTCTTCAATTAATAAAGCAGAAAGCACAAGCAATACTCGTAGAAGCAATGGGATAGAGAGATGCTCCAGAGTCGATGCCGTCGTCGCACTCGAGCGAATTTAGTTTCGAGCGTTTCGAGAAATAAAACAAATCGATTGAGAGACAGATAAGTGCGGCTGGTTTCTACTCGTTGGTAGCACAAGATCTAATCTGGGAGAGTACGCGCGTTTTCAATCGTGTATAGAAGATATGCGCTCGTTTTGCTTCCTGCTGTGTGACATGCAAATTGTGGCTTACATTTACACGTTGGATTTAAACACAATTCGAGGCAAAGATTAATTGACAATTGGTATCCTTCTGTAACAACATTTCTAAACCTGTTAGCACGTTAACCGTTTATTTAAACTGGAAAAGCATACTACCATGAGTGTTTTTTTTCTGAATGGTGCAGGCTGCCGCGTTGAACTTTTTTTAATAGTTAATGATAGTTGACTAGTTTTTAATAATTGTGTTTTTTGTGCTTGTTTAGTTCAACGATTATTTATAAGTATCTTCATTTTCATTTTTTTCAACCCAAGGTTCAATTAAAAACTTAATATCCAAAACCAGGTGCACCTCAAACAACGCATCTGACAAAAATTTCTAGTGAGCAAATTTGACTAACAATGCCGATGGAAAAAAACTTCTATTTATTGGCATCTCGAGATACACACAAAATGATACTAAAAGTTTATATTTACCCTAGCGCTGTCTAGTGAGGCATTGTGTTAGTTCCTGTATCTTCAGGACACACATATAAATACCACCATTGTAACTTCTTTATAGAAATTTCATCAAAATATGCAGGTACAGTACGGGAACAAAACTATTAATGATAAAAGCCGCTAAATCGCAGATAGTAGTCTTATACTGAAAATACTAAAAACATAGGGTTGTGTCCAAGACATGACTGCATTATTGACGCAGGACGTAGCCCTGCGTAGATTATTATTAGTGCTCAATTTCAAAAGCATCAATTATTTTTTTTTAAATGGACGACATTCTTATATCGTGAAAAAGTCAACGTTCGGTTACAAAATAGTGTTTTTTCACCTATTGAACGACTTTCGTTAATGGAAATGCATTTAATGAATCAAGCCGGCTATTAATTGCTTTCAGATTCGTCGAAGACCAATTGACACCATCTGAAATTTTGATGTTGCAGAATTTCTACAGACAAGTACTCTTTAACAGTGTTCACTCGGCTATCGACATAAGCAGACTAAAGAGCCTGAATTTATAAAGAGGCGACATCTTATCCATTTGACAGGTCTTCTGCTCGATTGGAATGACTTTTCCTATGACTTTGACAGATAATCGATTGTTCCAATTTTGACATGTCGTCTCTTTATAAATTCAGGCTCTTTAAAGCAGACCACTCTCGATTTTATAGTCGCTATATTCATAGTCTGGCGGATAGAATTTCGATCTATCAAAAAGCGAAACCAATTCAATATATTGTAGATCAACAATTGAAAAGGTCCTATCAACTTTTATAAACCAAACGTTGATTATTCTTTCCTCGACAATAGAACGCAAATTACCGGCATCATCGGATAGGGGTGTCTTTCCTCAACCCAAAGATAGTGTTAGTTTGCGTAGGCGGGCCTTGAATCACGAGAAAACGGTTTCCGAAGTTTTGTTTGCAATAGCTGATGTGCTCTTTTCTGTTGTTGGTCGTGATTTGATCGATTGGTTCCGCTATTTGACAGCTCAATTGGTTCCCGAGATTCTATCCGCCAGACTATGAATATAGCGACTATACTCTCGATGTGTGTCACACGATCGTCTGTTTACTCGGCAGCAACCATTCCCGAGCAGGAGAAAATAACTAATGAATACCTAATTCTGACCTGATATCAATATTTGGTATAGACCAACATGACGTAAGAGGTAAAATACCAAAAGATTACATGCAAAATACTTTGTAAATAACAAAAAATGATATTTGGATGCCAAAAGAATACCTGTGTGGTATGTTTTGGTATTGCATTTCATAACTTGGTATTTGAATAGTATAGTGGAAACATTTTTTTTTGGTATTATTCTACCTCTTGGATGACACCTATTTAAGGTATCGAGATATTCGTTCCTGATCGGGTTGTGTGGTTTTCCTCATTGTTCTTCATCAGCAGTTCTTTCGGTCGATGTGTCGTCGAGTTTGGAAAGCAATCGTTTAATGATGAGTGTCTGAGTGCTGACCACGTTTTGCGTCCATTGCTGCAATGGAGGCGCTCTGCCCCCTGTTGGCGATACTGCCATACAATGAAACCACTGGAAGCGGCTTTCTTTCTGATTATGGAGGCTTTTTGGATAGCGGAAGATGAAGTGTTTATTGCGTTTTACCTTTTGACTATAGTTTTAAGATGTTTTGTATAGTGAACAAGAATCCTCGGCTCTGTTAAGTTAATTCGATTGAGCAAATAAATTAATGAACAAAAAAAAAGGAACTATTTAACGGAAACTTATTTCAATTTGCAGACATTAATTAACAATTCTTTCAAATGGCGAAGATTGAGTGGAATTCAATCAAATTGAAAGTTAAATAACACATTTTAAACCTACAGGAGCGCAGCGAGCTGGGTGGTTAGACCAAGTGGAGCAAGATCTGGGAAGTGTAGGACACTCGAGAAACTGGAGACACCAGCCACCGAGCGGTTGGCGCAACATTGTAACGCAGGTGAAATCCTGAAGGACGTCAGACCAGCAGAAAAAAAACATTAATACAACAACCCTAAACTTGCATCCACAAACACATCGTCCTTTAAAAATTTGAAAACATTATCGTATTATTTTAATAACGCTTTTTCTTGATAATTTGTCAGAACATTTGTATACATCGGCTTATAACATATCGCAAGTCACGACAGGCCAAAAACACTAAACGAAATTATAACAAAGTTCAATTTAAGACAAAATAATCATGAAGAAGAACTAATAAAGATTTACCAAATAATCGGACCGCCATTTCAAAGGTCTTGTCAACCTGAACAAGCTTACCACAGACTGCAACAATCTATCTTTTCGAGCAGTCATGTTAAAGCATGCAACTAGGAGTCAAAGGAGTTACTATCCGAGCAAAACCGGTTAACAAAATGAAAGCAAATCGATATTAAAGTTTGCTGTTCTTAACAAAATGTAAACTAATTTTGATTTCAACTGTCGCCAAATAAGTCTGATGTCATACTAACCTCATTATGCAATCAAGAGTTTTCAAAGTGAAAGCAACTTAACTTCGACTTTTGCTGTTAACGACTTGTTGAAAATTGAATTTACTTTTACCTGTCGGTGAACTAACTATTATTGTATGTTTGTTTTGTTTAACACATTTTATGCCATTCGAGACCTGTCTGGGTGAGCTTTGTACTCTAGTCTTTTAGCGTTATGTCAAACATTTACGCCAGGCCCGTATTCAGTTAAATATTATGAACGCAAAATGATTTTTGATTTTGCATTCATAGTATGTCATTGAAAAAGCAGGATTAGTTTTCCATTTGATTCAAAAATGTGAAATTATGCTCTCAGCTTTGCTGTGTTAACGTTAATTGATACAAAACGATATCAACTTAATTAAGAAAAAAAAAAACCTACACCATATCAGCAAATTTTGATTTCAATTTGATCTCTAGCTTTGCTCAGATAACGTGCGCATCAGGGGTGGCAAACATCTGTCATACTGAACCCGTTAGTTATGATGAGAGCTGTTTAAAAGAAAAAATGATTCTTTTACTAGTCTAAGAATAATATAGATCGAGTTTGCCACCCCTTGCCCTTTCAAGTTTGCACGCTGCGCACGCGAGTGAAAGGAGAACTAGCGCCATGTAGGAATGGAATTCTCAACATAACTGTCCACCATCCAATAGGTCTTGTTCTTAACCCAGCGATTCTCAACCAATGGGGCTCGACCCACCGGCACCGGTGGGTCGCGGGGTGCCTTCAGACAACATGACACTTTAGCGTTTTGAGGCGATGCAAATCCTTTTTTTTGTGTTTATGGTCAATCTGGCGTTGAAAGTTGGTCTCGAGTCGGTTTTTACAACGTTATGATATTGTTTTCTAATTAGTTTAAATCCTAACTTTATTATTTTGATACTACTCATGCGTTTAGGTAGCTCTTTCATTGTTTTCAGATCATTTTCGCACATTTGAGGCCGTTTTTGTATTTACTTGTCGATTTATCTCAATTTTATAGTTTTTAGTTATTTTATCTTTCTATAATTTTTTGGCTGTTTTGGAGGTTTAAGCCGTTAAAATACAAAGCTATTTCTTTGTCGTTTTACAGATACTTTTGGACTAAGAATATTTTTTTAAACTTTATTAAAGTATGGGGCCTCCCTTAGCTCAGT